ATAGACAACTTAAAAACTGATAAATCACCAGGGCCAGATGGCATACATCCGAGAGTTCTGAAAAAACTCAAATGTGAACTTGTGGATCTCCTGACAAAAATATGTAATCTTTCCTTAAAATCTGCCTCCATTCCTGAGGACTGGAAGGTAGCTAATGTCACTCCCATCTTTATAAAGGGTTCCAGAGGAGATCCGGGAAATTACAGGCCAGTCAATCTGACGTCGATATTGGGTAAATTGGTGGAAACCATTATTAAGGAAAGAATTACTAGGCACATAGATGAACAAAACCTATTGAGGCAGACTCCTGTCTCACAATACAAGAACTCGTGGGCACTCAATGAAATTGCTGAGCGGTTGGGTTAGAATGGATAAAAGGAAGTACTTCTTCACCCAAAGAGTGATTAACACATGGAATTCACTGCCACAGGAAGTGGTGGCGGCTACAAGCATGGATGGCTTCAAAAGGCAATTAGATAAGTATATGGAGCAGAGGTCCATCAGTGGCTATTAGCCACAAGGTATAGATAGGGGCTCTGGGGCAAGTGATGCTCTTCTTTGTGCTTGGGGGGGTCAACAGTCGGAGGGCTTCTAATGTCCTCGCCCCACTGGTGGACCTCCTGATGGCACTGGTATTTCTGGCCACTGTGTGATACAGAGTGTTGGACTGGATGGGCCTTTGGCCTGATCCAACATTGGCGTCTCTTATGTTCTTATGTACCTACTGTCTGTTTTGGATTATAAACTCCTGGGGAACAATGCAGAACTCTGTACAGCACCATGAAAAACGATGCAGCTGTCTAAATAAGATAATAATTCTCCACCATGTGACTGGAGAATGTCCTGCTTCTTAAAAGCAGAGGTGATCTCCTTTAGAACTGATGAGTTCACACTAGGCTTCCACTGTGCTGTTATTGAATGTGGGCCTGGAGGGAGCTAACCATCACTGACTAGCCACGGCAAAACAGCAGGCTTCATGTATTGACTAGCATGTGGCAATATAGCTTCTCTTATGTAAAAGTATGGTTGAGGATTTCCACTTTCAGTCACCTTAAAGCATTTATGTTGCCACTTCTAACATTTCAGTACTTCTAAAAATTTCAGTGTTGATCTGAAGTCCTACAGATATGTGGGGCACTTCTGTGTGTTTTGGTTTCCTGGGCAGCATGGGCCAGGGAACAATTACCTGTCTTCCCCTTGGACAGTCTTAGCTGAATACTCCTGCACATGTCTTGCAGTACTGGAAGCTGCCTGCCTGGACAAATCTTGAGAAGCTACCATTTCTACCGATAACTATTGAAAGAGCAAAGCAGTTCCATCCCTGCTCACAGATACCTTAATTTCTCCTATGCAATCCTTCCGAGGAAATTTTCTGAGGTGGCTTGCTGACTTCAGATCAATGACTACCCTTCTTGGTCTCTGTACACATTTGTTGTTTTTCAGATTATTGCAGCACGACTAGACAACACTCAGCTCATCCTGCAGATTGACAACACCAAGCTGGCTGCTGATGATTTCCGAGTAAAGTATGTGCATATGGCAAAGAAAAATGAATAAGTAGTAACTAAAAGCTGAAGTGAAAGTAAACACACACTATTGTCTGAGATCCTTCGGCTGCCAAGATCAATGTTGTCTACTCCAGGGTCTCAGGCAGAGGTCTTTCAAGTCACCTATGCCTGATCCTGGAGATGGTAATGGAGCATCAGAGTTTGACTCAAGCTTGCACAGGGTCTGTTCTATAAACTCCTGAACCTGCACCTCTCATTTCCTCCCAAAACATTTTCTTTGGAGCACCTTCTTTGGGGGTCTGTAACTCAGACCCTGCAAAAACTCCATTCCTCACCAAATTTGGAGGGAAGATAGAGGACAGTCAGCCAGAGAACTCCTGCAAGTTTGGTGTCTCTAGCATTCTGGGTGGCCATTCTATTGCGTCATGAACCTCATGAACCTAGTTTGTTTGACATCTAAAAGTTCGTGACAGCTTGTGGCTCGTGAACTGGGTATGCCACAAACCATAAACTATCCCATCCCTAGTCCAGTGGCACCTTTAAGACCAATAAAATTTTATTCTGTGTATAAGCTTTCATGTGCATGCACACTTCTTCAGATACATTGAAACAGAAGTCACCAACCATTATATATACATACAGGGTGGGGAGGATGTTACCAGAATAAAATTTTGTCGGTCTTAAAGTTGTGAATGGACTCAAACTTTGCTCTGCTGCTTCAGACCAACACAGCCACCCACCTGAATCTATCACCATAGCAATTATTCATGAGAAGCTGTCTAGAGTTACTAGAAACTGGAAGATCAAGATGGGTAGCCATGTTAGTCTCCATGTAGCAGTAGCAAAGAGCAAGAGTCCAGCAGCACCTTAAAGACTAACAAAATATTTGGCAAGGTATGAGCTTTTCTGAGTCACTGCCCACTTCTTCAGACACATCTGGATTTGAAGAAGTGAGCAGTGACTCACAAAGGCCTGCCATATATTTCGTTAGTCTTTAAGGTGCTACTGGATTGCTCTTTTCTACTAGAAACTGGAATTTAGGGTTAAGAAGTCACTTATGGTTAGATCTGTGGATTAAGACTGTAAATGCTGAGCATATTCTAACTGCCCCAGAACGTAATATATCTTTTAAAAAACTGAACAGGTATGAGACTGAGCTGGGACTTAGACAAAATGTGGAAAATGACACCACAGGGCTGCTGAGACTAATTGATGACTTGACCCTGGTAAAGGCTGACTTGGAACATCAGGTGGAAGGTCTGAAGGAAGAACTGGCTTACCTCAAGAAGAATCATGAAGAGGTGAGCAAGTGACTTATTGAACCATCAGAGATTTATGAATTTTCTCAGCTCCAGCCACAGAAATAAAAAGGAGAATTCACAGAACAATTCGTGCAAGATCTGTAAAAATTGCCTTTGGTTTTTTTTTATTGTTGTTCTTTTCTCTTTTTTAAAGAAAGCAACCAAAGGGACGAGGGAGAGATCAGATCAGGGCCACAGTGGAGCAGGAAGAGCTTTTAACTTATTCTTCTTGTTTCCTCATCCCTGAAGAAGTTATTTGAATACCATTAGCCACAGCTTACTATGTTCTGTAATTGACACATCTGGCCCTTTTGTGTCTCTTTGTCTTAATTCAGGGGTACCCCAACCTTTTTGAGTATGTGAGTACCTCTGGAATTCAGTTTGGTGGGCACGACTGCAAAATGGCTGTTACAGAAAGGGTGACAAAAAATGACAGGGAGAAAGATCATGAATAACTCTAAAAGTTACTCTTCAGCATTACAGGAAGAAGTCTGTTTAATAGTTCTGGAAAGAGCACTCTCAGCCGCACCGACCTCACAGGGTGTCTGCTGTGGGGAGGGGAAGGGAAAGGAGATTGTGAGCCACTCTGAGACTCTTTCGGGTAGTGAAGGGCGGGGGGTATAAATCCAGTCACCTCCTCCTCTCTTCTTCGTCTTCTTTTTAAATGAACATATTGTTGAATATGTTTTCTTGCATACACCAGGCGTACCTTCAGTCACATGATTTAGTTTCTTGTGCTGTGGTGGCAGCTGCTGGAGCAATTTTTTAAAAAAACTGCACAGGTCTCTAGCGGCCAATTAGAAGCCCCGCAGAGTAAAAGCCCCACCTGGCCCTGATCACTTTCCAAAAAAACTTGATGGGAGCCGAAAAAGGTTTCAGTGGGCAACATGGGCACTCAAAAGCACCACACTGGGGAGCCTTGTCTTAATCATTCCTCTGTTGATCTACACAAATACAGGCCACACACAACACAGGAACCAATGAGAGACTATGAGAGCAATACAAATTCAAACAAAAATGAGAAACAATCTGGTTTAGATACTGCATTATTTTATTCAGTGAGGAGTAAATGCTCTCACTGAAGCCAGTCACCTGTACTGTGCACCTGCTATTTCATGTAGTTACCAGAACCTCATTCCTGGTCACCAGGGCATCTTTTGATATCATGCATATACAAATGTTTTCATTTATATATGAGAGCATGGACTCTAATATGGGACAACCGGGTTTGATTCCCCACTCCTCCACATACAGCTGCTGGTGTGACCTTTGGTCATCACAAGTTCTTTCAGAGCTGTTTTCTCAAGAGCAGTCCTCGAAAGAACTCTCTCAGTACCACCCACCTCACAGGGTGTCTGTTGTGGGGAGGGGAAGGGAAAGGAGTTTGTAAGCCGCTCGACTCCTTCAGGATCTGAATCCAATCTCCTCATCCTCCTCTCCTTCTCCTTTATGTTTGCAGTAGTTGAAAGAGAGTCTATAAGTAAGAACTGGGCCAGCAGCTAAGCAGATTGTGGAAAGAAGTCATAGAAACAATGTCTGTGTGGGGTGAAAGGTCTTCTGTTAAGCAATATGGGAGCATACTTATAGAAATATTTGATTGGGATGACCATGGATGTGGCAGTTACTGAGAAGATTCCATCTTTAGAAGTCAGCAAGAATTCACTATGTAAAAATATCTGCACTTCATTAATATGGAGGCCCAAATGTTATATGAGTACCAAATACTAATGGGGGGTGATCCATCAGTGGCCAAAGGCTGGTTAGGCTACTGGCAGATCTCAAGAATAACAAAGGAATGCTGGAGTCCAGCAGCAAGTAAAACCACAGTCGCAAAAATGATAGACTTCATAAACTGCACACAGTACTCAGATTAGATTTCCCTAGTTTAATCTAATCTTTAGTTTCGGTTCATTTTCTGGAAGGCCACCAGGGTAATGTCATTTTGAAGAGAATGCAGAGCATGAGCTCATATTTCAGGGCACTGAACTACAGCATGGGAGTGCTCAGAGGACTGGATGCAGGCTGCTGATAACCAGCACTATTGTTTGCAGGAAATGGAGAGACTGCGCCGGCAGCTGAGTGGCACTGTGACAGTGGAGGTGGATGCCGCTCCAAGCATTGACCTTGCGCAGATAATGGACAATATGCGTCAGCAATATGAAGCCATGGCAGACAAACACCGTGAAGAAGCTAAACAACAGTTTGAGAAACAGGTGATGGGCATTAAAACAACTATGGGTGATTCTACATCTAGCATTCACTCCACATTTTCTGAACACTGAGGAAAAGGGGCAGCTCAAAACCACATTCAAATACCTCAGGGTAACACCATACTGACTACAAAGTCACCCTGAATGGTGCAGAAGGTACTACAAAACCCGATGATCAAAGATACTCAAAGTGGTATGCAGTCTAGGGTACCATAAAATCCAATGATCAAAGAAAATGAAAGCAGCAACGTGGGTTTCATAAAACAATGGAGGGGAAAGCCAATGCAGAATCGCCCTGTGATTTGCATGGCTCAGCAGAGAGGGGGAGTTCTGTTATAAGCCTTGCCTGCTGACAACTCCACAGCTGAAGTCAGTGGCAGCCCATGCCTTCTTAGGCCCCTGCAGGCCAACGAAGTAGCCCTTTGAGGCACTGGGGAAGGGCAGGGTGCCAGGAGGAGGCCCAGATGGAGAGCCCATATGCACCAGTTCCACACACCCCAAAACACCTCAAAGGGTGTTGAGTGAGTCCTAACCTGCCCACCCTCGGAGGCTCCTTTAAAAGACCGGCCCTGGATGAGCCAGACCTCTCCCACACAGTGTGGAAAAAGGTGTGAGACAGGACAGAGAGTTGTGAATGAAGCTGAACCCCCCCCATCCCCATTAACTGAGGCACTGCCCAACTTGCCAAAGGACGCTGAAGGATGTGGCAGCTCCAGGCTCTGACCCTGACAAATATTATATTTAAAAATCTACTGCCGAAATAATCAGACACCCATAATCAACAGAATTTTAACCTAACCAATTAATTGACTGACACTGAAATTCTGTGCTGAGTTACTCCAAACTAAACTTGCAGATTTCAAAAGGTCCAGACAGGAGTAACTCTGCATAGGTTTGTCCTCTAAATGTTGCAGACCTAACAATTGTTTTATATGTATTTGAATCTTCTTTTCCTTCTCTGTATTTCAGATTGAAGAATGGAATGTGGAAATAACCACGAACACCCAACAAGTTGAGAGCAACAGAAATGAGATTACAGACCGGAGACGCATCCTCCAGGGCCTGGAGATTGAACTCCAATCCGAGCGTAGTTTGGTAAAGTATCCTGAACTAATCCAATACAAAGTTTTAGTCTAGTGGCACCTTTAAGACCAACAAAGTTTTATTCAAGGTATAAGCCTTCATGTGCAAACACATTTATGCAGATACTAGGGCACATAAAAACGTATACCGAATAAAACTTTGTTGGTCTTAAAGGTGCCACTGGACTCAAACTTTGTTCCGCTGCTTCAGACCAACATGGCTACCCACCTGAATTTAATCCAACACAATTGCACTTGATTAAATAATACTTTGGGATGCTGCTTGCTGATCTATAGAAGTGCCCTGAAGAGGCAGGTACATCTGCTATTGCTCCTACATCTGGAGTGAGCTGGACACAACAGTATGCTGTTGGCAAGACAGTGACAGGAACATTCTTGGCTCTCTTCCTTGAACAAAGTACTCAAAGATCATAAATTTTGCATAGCGTGCATATATCATTATGGCATAAATGTTGCAGAGTTGCAGAAATAAGGGGAAAACATGCCCACAAATGGTAGTATACAGTGGGCATTATGGAATGCTGTTGATGGGACTGATCATTAACAGATATAATTACTGCTGAGCCACATGTTCTCCAGATTGAGTCTTGCCCTCCAAAACCTCTGCAATTACCCTTTTTCATGCCTGTCCCCCAGCCACTCTTTTTTCACCTTTGCTGCTGCTGTGGTAGCCATTGTTTGCTGTTTTATTCATTCATTTCTTCCAGTGTTCATTTATTTTTATTGAGATTTTTACCTTTACTTTCTGCCTCATAGGGCAGCCAAGGCAGCTAACAAATGAACATATCAAATTTAAAATCTCATCTTAAAAGCCATTAAAACAAAACGCATCAAAAACAAATGCATCATTGAAACAACTTAAAACCAGAAATTAAAATAAGTACAAAAGAAAAAAAAGCAATAGTTAAAACACTGGGGAGGGAGGAAGAATCACATAGAGAATGCCAAGTGGAGCAAAAGTTGCAATCTTCACCCACTGGCAGAAAACAGCAACAGAAGGGGACAGGTTTCATTCTTTCTCAATTCCCAGACTGTTAGGGGTCACATAATGGATACAAATGGTTTGTAACCAGCAGGATTCAGTGATGTTTTCATGTCAGAGAAGGCAAATAAAGCCTCCTGTACCATTCATTTAAATGATACTAGCCAATCAGAGATCACTTCAAGAATCAACAGCTTCTCAGTCCTTTCACAATGATCCCAGAAAAATCACTGAGGGGTCAGGTATCAAATTCTGGCAAACTCTGGCCCCGGTCACACGGACAGGAAACTGCGGGGGGGAAGCGTGGCTGTTTGCCCCAGGGCAAACTAACACGCAGTAAAGCGATCATACCTCCTGTGGAGGTTCTGTGGAGGAACCGTGGAGCTTCCGTGGTTACGGAGAGGCGTCGATCACAACACATGCCTGCGCGCAACGAAGAAGCGCGCGGCGCGGCGAACTGGGTTTCTTTTTTTGTGTACACTACGAATGCGCATGCTCCGTTGGGTGCGTGTGCGCAACCACGGAGACTTGGGGGGAAAAAAACCCTTCTTCGCAAGGGGACATGGACGGGCGCCGGATGCCACCGGAAACGCGATCAGACGCCCGCCCTTGCCCCGCAGTTTCCGGAAACTAGTACCTCCGAGGTACTAGTTTTTTGCTCCGTTTTATCGGCGGTTCGCCACAGTTCAACCACGGGAGCTCTACGCTCCCCAGATGTTGCCGTGTGATCGCGCCAGGTAACTCCGCCTCTCTTCCGTCTATTTAGCGTGGCTTCTGCTCCGTGTGAACGGGGCCAGAGTTTGCCAGAATTTGATACCTGACCCCTCAGTGATTTTTCTGGGATCATTGTGAAAGGACTGAGAAGCTGTTGATTCTTGAAGTGATCTCTGATTTCTTTTATGCAACTAGAAACCCATTTCAGCTCACTGAAACCAAATCCTAGATTCTCTAAACCCACACCACTTTTTCAGTAATCTGCACTCACTGCATGACATATTTGCTTCAAGCATTTTCAATATAGTATTTTATATGGACATCTTTTTCACCTTATTCCCCAAATTACAATTCCTATTCAAAAGACTCTTGTTTCTCCCAAGTTACAAGACATCTTTTCAGCTCCTGTTTCAATTCTGAATGCTTACTGACTCCAAAGCAACATATCCGAATGTAAGACAGGAGTTCCAACTTTAACTAGTTTTTTTCTGGAGACCAGTCAAGACTAGTAAATTGCTACTAGATATTGGAATCATCATGCCACTATAGGGAAGACAATGAACATCAGGAGTAAAATTAGGGTTGTTTGAGATAAGTGGGCAACGTGTGAAACTTTGGGATGAACTGATAGTTGATTTTAAACTGTATTTTCGTACATTAATTTGTAAATTGCCCAGAGCCCTGTGTACTCAGAGATGGGGCGATTCAGAAATTTAATAAATAATCATCATAATAATGAAAATTTAATTTACAAAGCTTAGAAAAGCTTTAGAAGGGGATTAGATAAATTCATGGAGGATAAGTCTATCAGTGGCTACCAGCCATGGTGATTGAGGAGAACCTCCACATTCAGAGGCACTAAACCTATGAATCCCAAAGCCAGGAGGGAACATCAGGGGAAAGCCTCAGCCTCCCTGCCCTGTTGTTGGCTTTCCAGGGGAACTGGTTGGCCACTGTGTGAGACAGAATGCTGGACTAGATGGACCATCAGTCTGATCCAGCAGGGCTCGTCTTATGTTCTTAACCTCTTGAATTTCACATGTGAAACACAGACTACTATGCTATTGGCTGTCTGTTGTCTGAGGATGATGCTAAGCCCACCATCTGATATAAACTAACACTTTATATTTTATAATATATATAATTGTATTGCTCTGTTTTTATCTATTTTCTGTTTTAACTGTTTGATATTTTATGTGAGCTGCCCTGAGCCAGCCTTGGCAGGGAGGGAAGGATATAAATTAGATGAATAAATAAATAAGTAAATGAATTTGGTATCTTTTGCTAGAAAACAAATACAGAGAATGCTGTGGCAGAGATTGAGGCACGTTATGGAGTGATCCTGGCCCAAATACAGGCCTCTATTGCAAATGTGGAGACCCAGCTGCTGCAGATGCGAGAGGACATGGAGCGGCAGAGTTTTGAGTACAACAGCCTCTTGGATATTAAGGTCCAGCTAGAGGCGGAGATTGCCACCTATCGTCGCTTGCTGGAAGGAGAAGATAGCAGGTAAGAGATAGACCAAAGATAGACCAAAAATTGAACACACTGGCAAGCTGCCACTGTCCAGTAGGAAGGATACTGAAAAACAGAGTGGACGTTTCTGGAATGTTACAAAGCACAGACCAGGGCAGAGAGGAAATCTTTAAAATAGCCTGTTAGCTGGGCTGTTAACTGGGGGCAAGGAAACATCAGTAAAGCACCCCTTTCACCCCTTGATCTTCTCTCTCTCTGTGTTGTATCCTTCCTGTCTCCCATTCATTGTTGTTTTCTGTATATATGTTATCCCCACTTGGGCTTCTGTATACACATGTGTGTTTATGTTCCCCATCCCCCTTCGTCCGATATGCATATGTGTGCTTGGCTCTGCCTTCTGTTCTGTGGCAGCCAAGTTGTGCTCGGCTGTATTTCCAGTAGCAACCATTTTGTAGTGGTGCTTGCAAACCTGTCTTAAAACCTTTCTTAAAATTCCAAAGGTGTCGGCTCAGGAATGTTGCCCATCCCCACCCCCCACCCTGGTAGAATTATGAGAGGATTGAATTTGGATCAGGGAAACCTTGGCTGCTTCCGCATGCAGATCTTTCCCCATGTGGAACAGACATGTGGGCTTCGGTTCAAAGGAAGGATGGAAAAGTGGCCACGGTCCATTATCCATCCTTTGGCCCTTTATAGAGCTCCCCCCCCCCTTTTCCAGTTGAGTTGTGCTGTAACTTCACAGCACAGCTAGGAAGGGGAAAGGAGGATTTAGAATAATCTCCAAGACATTTGGGCTTTTGCAGACATAACAGAGGGAAAGGAAGGGTGGTGGCAAAGCAGTGAGCGGCTCAGAGAAAGGGGGCCAGGATGCTGTTCCCACTTGCCCCCACCTCACTTGTTGCTGCTGCTGCTGCTGCTCTATATTAGCAGCATATTTTTTGCAACCCCATGTGGATGCAGGCCTGGCTTCAACTCCGTATTTACTGAGTGATCTGGGACCTACCCCACAGACTTGATGTTAGACTAAAACATCAGCAACCATGTGTTGCTGCCTTGAGGGGTTTTTTTGGAGGAAATGACTACTTCTTAAAAGTCAGAACTGTGTGTTTACAGAATATATTTTACTTTGTTTAATACAGATCTATTTTGGAACTGGAGATTGCAAAAAGAGAAGAAGCTGAGAGAGGTATGACAGCTGACACCTCGTCCCTCTTTTTGAGAGCAAACTTCTGTGGGGTTTCCACTGAAAAAAAGTCAATTGCATTACAACAGTTTTTCAAAGTTGTGCGGAAACTTTAGTGAACAGATAACTGACTTGGGTAAAGGGGTATTTTGCACTCCTGGTAGCAGCTGCAACCCTCAAACTCTTTATAAGGCAATGAAATTAATATCAAATTCACACTGAACAAATGTAGTCTTTTAAAGAATTTTCTATACTCAGGAACACTCTTCAAAATACACTATTTTCTTGCAAGCAGTACCCGTATATGGAGTCACTTTTTGAAAAGCAGGTGGCAAACTATGCATTTCTCTCAGAAAAACAACCTGCATGGCCATAAAACACATGTTTATTCCATAATATGCTACCTGGAATATATATTATTTCTAGGGTGTTATATAATGGAAGGAGTGGAGATTTAGGTTACTTCTACATTGAGGTTTTACTCCATGTGCCTCCCCCATCTGAAATAGGTTGTGGGGATGTTTCCATACAACATCACTGTTTATTCATTCCCCTTCCAGGTTGTATCCAGTTTTGTTACATTTCCTTCCCCAGGCCTGCTTTGGTACAGTCATTTGGAAAAGACTGTACTAACTGCAGATTTGGTTACCATTTGTAGGAGGAGGTTTTCTTTTCTACATTTCCTCACCCACACTCAGCACCATTTCCTCCCCTACTGCATTGGTCTACCATTGATATCAATTGCCTGTTGTACCCAATAGCTACCTATTTTTATTTCCAGAAAAGAATAAAGTTCGGAAGATCAAGACTGTTGTTGAAGAGATGGTTGATGGAAAAGTGGTCTCATCCCAAGTCAGAGAGAGAGAAGAGAAGATGTAGCCAGCAGTGAAATGAAGTGCACCGTCTTTTAATGTTAATTGCAAACAAAAACAAAAAGCCCCTTTATTTCTATGCCTCTATGAAGCTTTTGAAGAGATCTAACAAGACAGTTGAGTTACAAAGAGAATCATCATGTTATTCATTAAAAAAAATCATATACTCTTTCCTTTCTTCCCACTATCTTTGCTTATGAATGGGTTGGATAATTGCAGAATGAAGACCCGCTGTGTAAAAGAACTCTCTTTAATTTCTTGAGATTTTCACTCATCTATCCTCATAGCTATAAGTAATTGAATAATTCCCCTGAGATTTCCAGATAAGCTCCCCACATAAAGAAAACATAATTTACCCAATTGAAAAAGAAAAAAGTCTCAGCCTCCAGGAGCAAAGTAAGAATGGTTTATGCAGGGCTGGACTTTTTCCAGAGAAGAAAATCATGGCTACTTTTAACATAGCTCTGCAAAGTAGACTGCTCTCTATTCACAGGGTTTAGGGAGCAATCCTACAGACGTCTATTCAGAAGTCCCTTTTTAATCAAAATGGTACACTCCCAGGAAAGTGTTTTTAGGATTACAGCTAAAGAATGCACCAAATTTTAAAGTGATTTTTAATTTATAAAATAATTCCTAATTTGTTTCTCCCGTAATGACATTATGCAACATAGCATGTTTCTTTCATCCTGTCTATATATGCTGGAATTCTGTACTAAAGGAAAAAAACTTTCAGACAAAACATCACATTTGTTTGGAAATGAAGTAAATATTGTAAATCAAGGTAATCTGCAAAAATGAATTTTATTTGCACTTCTTTGACTCTGCTTAATTTGGATAGGAAGGAGAGGCAGAATGTCTGGAGGAACCGGGGCCAATGAGTATGATGAGGACGACCATTTTATCTGGGGTGGACAGAGGATGATGAACAGCAAAAACTTTTTGAATCTTTCTGAAGTCACTGCCTTGAATCTTTTCGAGAAAGGCAGACTGTAAATTGTGTAAAATGAAGAATAAACAGGAGCCCAGTGGCACCTTAAAGACTAATACAATTGATTCAAACTGAAGCTTTCATGATTCAGTGTTCACTTCATCATTGGAATTCTGACACACCAAAGCTTATGCTAGAATAAATTTGGTTAATCTTCAAGGTACCACTGGTCTCCTATTTTATTTTGCTGCTACAGACTCATGGAGGCAAGCTGAAATAAAGGAAAGTTTTTTTCCTTTTCCACCATTAGTCTTCCATGGCCGGTTTTCCTTTTTTAGTTATAATCACAGAGCCAACGAGAATCTATAGTGGTGCCACTTAACTTTATGAGGTTGCTGTTATCTGGTTTTATATCCATCATCTTGGAATGTGCTTAATTACGTATGCTGTGCTAAAAAATACTTTGCTATTATTCTGACAGAAATTACATGACCTTTGACATCTGTTTTGCTTTCCTGCATTGCCCTGGCTGTTCCAAGAGCAGGTGTCCCTATTACCTCACCCCAAATAACACTACTGCTTATGAATACCCTGTTCCGGGCATCTCCAGCCTTTTTCAGCCTGCAGGTAGCTTTGGAATTCTGACACAGGGTGATGAGTACAAGCACAAAGTGGCTACTATGGGAGGTGGAGCAAACCGCAAACCACAAAAGGGCTAGGCTACTACAGAGGGATGAGTCAACCACAAATATCAGGGAGTGAGGTTACACATAACTCTGACAGGCTGCGGTCACACGGAGCATCAGCCACACTACAAAGACGGAAGATAGGCAGATTTTCCGGGCCGCGATCACAGCGCCACATCTGGGAAGCGTAGAGCTCCTGTGGCGAACCCGAGGCTTCCCGCCGAAGATGTGGGGTAAAAAACTAGTACCTCCAAGGTACTAGTTTCTGGAAACCGCGGGGCAAGGGCGGGCGCCTGATCATGTTTCCAGTGGTAGGTTGTGGCATCCGGCGCCCGCCCATGTCCCGTCACTAAAAGGTTTTTTTTCCCCAAGTCTCCACGGGATGCGCACAAGCACCCAACAGCGCATGCGCACACTTCGTTTAAAAACAAACAACACAGCCCCCTCCTCTTTTCCGTACCCCCCCCCACTCCTGGCTCAGCCTGCTCGAGAGGAACTCTCTACACCAGGTGGCAGAGGGGGAGGGGCAGGGGGCGTGACGGGAGGGCACCCGGCTGAAGCTCCTCCTGGAGGGGACCAGACAGAGAGGCCGCTTCTTTGCCGTGCCGCAGGATTGTCCAGTGATCGGCACCTCCCCCCTAACCACGGGACCTCGACGGGACCTCGACTGGACACCTGATTGCGCAGCCGTGCTTTATATTGCTCCAGGGCAAACAGCCACACTCCCCCCCCGCATTTTCCTGCCAGTGTGACCGGGGCCACAGTAGGTCTTTAAAATTTCAGGCAGAAGTTCAATTTAACAGGATGCCTTTTAAAATTAACATATTGTTTATGTTATGCATATTTTACTAGCTAAGAAATCCCTGCACAGGCTAGCTCAATCTCATCAGATCTTGGAAGTGTAGCAAGGTCAGCTCTGGTTAGTATTTGGAGGGGAGACCACAAAGAAATACCAGGATCACTACACAGAGGCAGGAAATGGCAAAGCACCTACGTTATAGTCTCTTACCTTGAAAACCCTACAGGGTCAGCATAAGTTGGTTGTTTTGACGGCACTTTACACACAAAAGAAATTCCCATCTGTCAGTGTCTATCTTCACTTTGCAGGCATCTAACACATTTATGCAAAAGGAAAGGGGGGGATGCTTCTTCTGACTCCCTTTACATGAGCCCTTGTCTCATGAGCTCACGAGCCATTTTTAACTTGCACTATTACTTGTAACAACGACAATTGGTGCTGAAGGGCTGGTTGAGAGCTCCTTCCACATGTGTAAAGTAAGAGAGAAATTCTGGCCAATTTTTGATTAGGAACTTAAATGATTTTTGAACCAAATTTTGATGCATTGATGTTATTACCAAGCTCCACCTGAACTATAAAAATTCATTAAAACTGCCCTAATCTGGACAGTCCAGGCAAGCCCGATCTTGTCAAATTGTGGAAGCTAAGCAGGGTCGACTCTGGCAAGTACTTGGATGGGAGACCTCCTTGGAATACCAGAGGCAGGGGCAGGCTTTATTCAGCCAACCCCTCTGAATATCCTCTAGGCCCTTAGTAGGGGTCAGTCACCAGAGGTTGCCATGACTCACACGGACACGCACATGCACATAAGAAAATACCATAAAATAATTACAACTGATGAGATCTGATGACTTCAATAGAAGTTCCAGTTAGGGGCATTAATCATTTTAGCTGTGCCAACCTAATGTGTTTAGTCAGAAAGAAGTACCACTGTGTTTTTAGAATATCCTTCCACTATTTGCTTAGGTAAAGTACTTCAGATAATGCCACTGTCTACGTTATACCATAAACATCAAAAACGCAAAAAGCTCCACCTGGCTCCCCCCCCCACACTTTCTAAAAACGCTTGGCTGGTGCCAGGGAAGGTGCCAATAGGTGCTATGTTGGGGACCCCTGCCCTATTTAAAAGAAAAAGACTTTGCCCACCAGTTAGCAAATATGCCCATACAGCACAACCCTTCAGCCGACACCCAGGTGTCCAAAGCAGGAAGCACAGACTTTCCTCTTGATTAAACAAACACACAAATATACAAAGTCATCTTTCACAAAACACCCTTTCTCCTTTTGATAATCTTTGTTCATACAAAGTCAAAGAAAACACTCCATAGTTTCACAGCTGTGAGTCACTATCTAATTCAGTACCAATTTTTTTTTGTAGAATTCTTTCAGTTGAGCTTCTTGAAACAAACACCATTCACAGAAAATCCCTGCTGAAACAACCACACCCATAATCCTACCACTTGAATTCATCAAAGTGATAAAACTCAAAATGACAACCTCAACAAGATGATAAAAACTAACATACACATCTCAAAACGTTATCGATTTGCTGTAAAGCTTAGAAAATAAAGGTCTAGAGGTTTCCTGCATTTAAATTTATAATTAAAGCCTAACATCTATTCTCTGGAACATTGTTCTAAATAAGAAGCATTAACATACTCTGCCATATCTCAAAATGATTTCACAAGGGTTGCAAGTTATTTTAAAATGAAGTATTTCTGCCAGGATTAAGTATGCACAGGTTATCCAGCAAACACCAAGTCCATAACCTTTGTGGTATAGAGCTAGGGTGGTTACTAAGACTTGGACCCACATTCAAACCCCCACTCTGTCATAAAATGCCATTGGTAGCAATGGGCCAACCACTTTCTCAGACTAGCCTACCTTACAGGGTTGTGGTGAGGATAAAACAGAGAACAGAAGAACCTTATATACCACCGTGTCTTTTATGAAGGAAGAGTGGAATAAGAATGCAATTAGTAAATAAAGGAAATAACCTCACCTTGAGTAGCTTGACAACAGAGTCATACATAATTTCCGGTGTGCCTTGTACATCTTAATCAGTTTGATCTCCTGTTGAAGTACTGTTTATCGTTAAGTTTTCAAACTGCTTTACAATCCTTTTTGCTTTTGTCCTAACAACAATCTTATTAGGCAGGTCAGCATTTCCATTTCACAGAAAGGGCAAACGAAGTTTAAACTATAATGGCTTTACCTTAGTGAGCAATAGAAATGACCAAAGGCTGTGCATCTTCTCCTATACCTGTAGATAACAGAGCATACATATTTTTGAGGCACGTGAGGATGCCTAGGGAGTGCAAGACATAGGGTAATTTCAAGGGGATGGTTATTCACACAAAGCCTTGGACGCATCTGGTGGGATTTTTGACTTTTTTTTTCTTGGAACAATATGCCCCCCCACCCCAACACATCAAGAAGCCAATTTTGAACATTCTGTTAATTTCAACAGTGGTTAGGGTTGCCAGGTCCCCCATGGCCACTGGTGGGTTTCCAGCTCCAGGTTGGGAAACTCCTGGAGATTTGGGGATAGAGCCTGGGGAAGACAGGGACCTCAGTGGGGTACAATTCTGTCAGCTTTGCTGTCATGGGGGTTGGAGAGGTCAGTTGTATTCTAATTGCTATTGCATTCCTTCTGTGCTTCTTAGCTGCTGTAACGCTTATCTCCAAGTTCTGCAGGCGGTGAGATGTTGATGGCTAGTTTCAAGGGAACCGTGGGAGCGAGCTTAGTTCCCAGCTTCAGCACTAACAGCCGGAGCGCCTTCTCCCGCATGCGGGAGTGTGGCTAATTAGCCAGGGCAGTAGAGCGGGGGGGGGGTGTATAGAAATATTGATTTCTAAAAGCCCCTGCCTTCCCCTGGGATGTCTTTCTGGTACCATGCTGTGTTGTATTTCCTGCACATTTGGCCGGAGAAGCTTTATAGCCCTGCCATATAACCACACATTCCTTCACACTTCCATGCTGGAAGCTAAGCCAGCATGTCAGAAGCTCACGTAGCCAATGGACGGGCTGGAGTTGGGGGCCATGTGACTGCAGGTGTGGTTTCCAAACTCCCAGCCTATCCCTAGTTGTACCCATGACAACTAGGAAATGGGCACATCCCCTGTCTGCTCCTGATTGGCTGATGGCCATGGCTGGTCATGATTAGATTGGGGTATAATTGTCTGATCCCTTGGAAGAGAGCTCTCTGTTCCTGCTCTCTCTCTACTAATTGAATTGCACCTGGAAATGCTGTCCCAGGTGGAACAAAGAACTGCTTTGTGAGCTGAGCACATGCTTGCAAAGATGGGATTCCTGCTATTACAAATCCCTTGGTGTCTAACTGGATTATTTGGACTGATGCTATCCTGAATTGGTAAATATGAATTACTTGGAACAATATGCCCCCCCCACCCCAACTCATCAAGAAGCCAATTTTGAACAAGGCAAACTGCCCTAGCCTTTCTTGTTTTGAAATCCTTCTGGTCTATGCTAAGTTCTGTACTGAATAAACTTATTCTGGTTTCTAACTTGTTTTGATGTTGTAACTGAATTCTAAGCCTTGTGTCTATGTTAATGCATCTATAGCTCTTCAATAAAGTATTACCTTTCCTGATAAGCGTGTATTACATTGTTGACTGTGGGTTCTGACATTCTGTGAAGAATCCTTCATTCTCTATCTACGCGCCTCACTCCCCAACCGAGATGAGTGACGGAGAGGAGAAACCGATTCCTTCAGAAAAGGAGGATGAGGGAGAGGACGAAATACCTATCCCTACCACGTCTGGGGAGGGGACTCCCACAACCCAGGCAATGGCACCGGTGTCCGCGGCTGAGAAGGGAGCCATCCCAAAGATTACATCGACCCTGGTGTTCCTGACCCCGTCGGGGCCACGGCAGCCGCCCAGTCCGGGGTACCGTCCGAGCTCCAGGTGGCGCCAATTCAACCCGGATTCCACTGCCGAGACTTATATGCTTACGCAGGGGCCCTGGAGAGACAGCAGGTTCGACCTGGCATTTACCTTAGCTGAAGGTTTTCCCCCACATGGGGCCTCCTTTGAACCACAGCTGGCCCCCTGGGTGATGGAGAGGTCAAAGGCAAGGAGTGGGCACATGTCCTCGGATGACGGGCTGGAACTAGCCCACAGGATGGTGGTGGCAGATCGAGAGAGGCGACAGCTTCAGCGGGATCTGGAGGAGATAGAAGCTCACCCGATGGCACCAGTGGAGCCTGTGGCCCCACCGGCTCCCCTGCCACAGCCTGGAGATGTGCCCAGGCCGGGCCCGGGGGAGGCCCTGGTTCCAGCACCTCAACCCGGCAGTCCGAGAGGCCAAGTGATGCATTGCCCGAAAGACCTCATCGAGGCCACGTTCGACAGGAACCCTGAGGAACTTTCCTACTTTGTGGTTCGAGTGATGAAGTTCGTGGAAAGATTGGGCCACCTGTTCCCAGATGACAGCAGCCGAGTGGACATGGTAGCAGTGCGCTTGCGGGGCCCCGCAGTGGCTTGGTATGTGGGGCTGCACAACACATGGGGACGGAGCTAGTGAATTTGGATGCTTTTATGTGGGCGTTGTGGGCCCAATTTGAAAACAGGAACGCCGGGCCCAAGGCAAGGGTGTTTCTACACACCCTGAAGCAAGGCAAGGGATCTGTGAGGGAGTACTTCTCGGAGTTTAAGTTGCACGCGGCCAAAGTTCAAACTTGGCCTGAAATCCGGGAACGGTCCTATGAGCAGTGGATCCAGTTTTCCTCCCGGCATGGATGCAAGAGGCGGAGAGTGCTGAAACCTGACTGAACACCCTGTGTCTGGACATTGCAACTCTGGGAGGTAAGCCTACCACTTCGGCTTAGAAGGGAAAAATGGTGCGGCAGTCCCAGTCTAGTTGAGAGCAACACATGCGTCAAGGGCTCTGAGGAGTTAGAAGACGACTCCAGTGAAGATGACCCCGAGTCGGCGGGAAAAGGCCGGGTCCTGCTGTGAGAGGTGCAGAGCAGCAGGGCCCGATCCCGGAGGTGCCTAAAGTGGTGAGCAGCTTTCCCCCCTTGTTTTTTGTGACTGTGACTTTAATTAACCCCAGCCTCGGAACGCATATCCGTGTAAGGGCACTCATTGACTCGGGGTGCGGGAGGGATCTCATCTACCCTTCCCTCATTATGGGGCTAGAAGCAGGGGTGGTGAAGCTGGGAACTAAGCTCGCTCCCACGGTTCCCTTGAAACTAGACATCAACATCTCACCACCTGCAGAACTTGGAGATAAGTGTTACAGCAGCTAAGAAGCACAGAAGGAATGCAATAGCAATTAGAATACAACTGACCTTTCCAACCCCCATGACAGTATAGCTGACATACTGCCCTCTCAAAAATCAGCTTCTCCCACCCAATCCGGGGGAATCTCCCAGTCATTCCGGGAGGTCTCCCGGTCATTCCGGAAAATCTCCTGGTTTGTCTGGGAAGTCCAGATGAAACTGCCGTAACAGTCGAGGGGCCCAAATATCCCCTACTCCCACCCACTCGAGGTGCTGGGGTCCAAAATCCAACCATTCAACCAAATACATCAACTTTCCATGTTTTATTTTGGAGTCCAGAATTTTAGATAACTCATAATGTTCCTCGCCCTCAACCAAGAACGGAGGGCGTGCAGGTTTCGATGGACGCCAAGGACTGGAACCGGAATCCTTCTTCAGGAGCCCACTCTCCAAAGCATCCATTTCCTCCAGGGGGAATGATCTCTGTAGTCTGGAGACGAGTTGTAATTCCATGGGAGGCTGGCATCCCTATTTGCCATGCAACACTGGGGTACTGGGGCTGCTGTTTGAAAAATGGGAGCAACAAGCTCCTTGGGCAGATAGAAATAATTGCCTTTGTCTTTGGGTCCTTGCCTTGGGGTTCTGAAAGCATGATTCCTTTGTGGAACGTAGTCTTCCATTACTGTGAACATCCATTAAGACAGCCACTTCTATACATGGAAGAAATGTTTTGCTAAAGCCTGCCCAGAGTTAACAAGAGAAGACTCTTTCTGAAAAGAATTTTGATGGGATTTTTCCCCCTGCGTTTGAGTTACTTTAAACAAAACACAGGCTATCATATGGTGTTCACTCATGAGGACAAGTTATCCATAATTTATGTATTCAGCAGTGTATAAACAATGTAAACAAAAAGGTGTTTCTATTTTACATGACCAAAAACCCATCAGGGGAGACACAATATGAGAAAAGGGAAGGTTTATAATTTGTTTACAGTGTACCGAAGCAACGAAGTTTTAAAAATTAATTCATTGGGGGCGGGGGTATCTAATAAAGCACAAGGTATTTCCGGCTTCAGTTGCAGCAGATGGGATTATTTCTAAGCTTATCTCCACCCAATACATTCATTAGAAGAACAAACACCCAGAGGGCACTGAATTTTCCACACTGATGGACAATTTTGGGTTTGAACGTTCAGCCCACTTGGTCAGGAAATAAACTGAATAGGCAACAGAAGAAAGCATGTTGCCTTAAGGAGGCGTGGACTCCTTCAGCCAAACACTCCCTTTTTTCATATATAAAGCTAAAGCCAACAGTAAAGCCACTCTTGCTTCACCCCATCACTGCACCAGGTTTCGAGCAACATCATCTTTTTATACCATGGCTCTCTCCATCCGAACATCTGCCGGACCTCGGCAATTTTCTTCCCGAAGTGGATTTGGTGGAGGTTCTGTTAGGTTATCTAGTGCTAGTAGTTCAGGGAGTATGGCGGGAGGATTTGGTGGGGGGTCTCTTCTCAGCTTTGGGGGTGGTGGCAGCAGCAGTTTAGGATGGGGCAGTGGATATGGTGGACTGGGAAGTGGCTTTGGTGGAGGTTCGGTTGCTGGCTTCAGTGGGGTCTTTGGTGCTGGAGGTGAAGGCAACCTTTTAGCGGGCACTGAAAAAGAAACCATGCAGAATCTGAATGACCGCCTAGCTGCCTACCTGGATAAGGTGCGCTCACTGGAGGAAGCCAATACTGAGCTGGATTGCAAAATCCGTGAATGGTATGAGAAAAATGGACCAGGTGCTGGGGGCTCAGCGGCTGGCAGAGATTATAGTAAATACTATCCAATAATTGAAGATCTCAAGAACAAGGTAAGCAGTCATGAGGTCCCTGCATTTCTTTACAAACTGAATTCTCCAGATTCCAGAGGAAATACAATAAAATTTGTTTTTAAAGGTGACTAAATAAGTTACATTTTACAATAGTGTGGCTTGTAATCTGTTGCTATATGACATTACCGTTGTGGAGATGGTATCCTTCAAGTGGGTAAGTGGTCCCCGCTACTACCCGAAGCTAGCAGTGTCCCGCATGAGAGTGGTGTCCTAAAGGTGGTGGCCTGTAAGAGCCCGTGACAGTATCCTTCAGTGGTTACCATTAATAAACCTCACTTTTATAATATTATATTCATTACCTTATTGATCTCAAGGAAACACAAACAGGATGCATAGGTTCAGGTGGGTAGCTGTGTTGGTTTGAAGCGGGATTCATGAGGCACTGAGCATTATGTTCTCACTCTGTTCCCAGTTTATATAATGGCAATAACAATGACTACTTCACAGGAAGTGTGAACAACCAGAAAAAAATACAGTAAAGCATTCTGAGTTGTAAACAATGTTTTAACGCTACTATGGGTTTTTTCACAGATGTTTAGTTTTAATGTACACTGCTCTGGGTATAGTTTAACTAGGTCATTTTGCACTCTTATTAAAAAAGCCCTGATTTCTGTTGGCTTATACCAGAGTAACTACACAGGACTGTACTAAAAGAATTATAATCTGTTAAAATTTATCCTGAATAACCATGCAAATTTGCTTGGAAGTAGGTCCAAATTAACAAAGTAGAATTTACTTCTCAGTAAATGTGCAAGTTATAAATTGCTTTCATATTTTTTATTGTGCAGTGCTTGAAAATATATTTGATATCATAAACTTGCATATACCAAAATGACTTGGATAAATCCAGTTAAACGGTTTTCCAATAATGTCATGCAAGAATCAAGTTTTTTTTAAAAAAAAAACTCCTGCTGTTTAGCATAATTTGTTTCATGACTAGCATAAACTTAAGGGTAGACAAGTAATATAGAGAAAATGCTTCATTTTGCATTTATCACTGGGTATATTGGAAGGATCCCATATCTTTTGAAGTCATAACATCTAAGAAAGCTGCTGCACCCTATTTTGCAGGCGAAGTGGAAAATCCTGGTTTTATTTGTATGTACTGTTGAAGCACTAGTACCACTAAGAAAAGAATCATCAGTGCAATGTTGCACTCCCCAGAAATACCCTTTCTGTTTTCCAGATAATCAATGCAACTATTGACAATGCCCGAATAGTCCTTCAAATTGACAATGCAAGACTGGCAGCTGAAGATTTCAGACTAAAGTAAGTAATTTATTTAGTGAAGGATTGCAAATATATTATTATTATTATTATTGTTGTTGTTGTTGTTGTTGTTATAGTCAGGTATTTGACTGGTAGATGGTGTTCTCCAATTTGAGATCTATCATCATCATCCTTTATTAGTCACCTTTCTCCCTTGCGGAACTCAAGGCAGCTTGCAATGTAGATAAAACATTATAAAAACACAATAAAAACAACAATCATAAAATCCATTAAAGTCAACAGTTTTGTGTATCTTCCCTGCACCTTTGAACATTCTGCATCACATAAGGAAATGATATATAAAGAAATAAGAGACCAAAAATATGAGGAAAAGGCAGAGCAACAAAAATGTATATTAAATCCCAAGTGGAAGAGAAAGAAGAGGAAAAAATACACATAAAACAAGAATCGGGGGACGACGACAATGATGACAAATGAGGCAAGGGCACTATGGTAGATTCAGCACCAGCTCTCTCCCCCAAATGTATCTCTGCATTATTAGTCGGGAGACCTTGGCTTGGTTAGAAGACATACATCTGGTTTTTTCTCAGATTCGAGAATGAAGCGGCTCTTCGCCAGGCTGTCGAAGCCGACATTAATGGCCTGCGTAGGGTACTGGATGAACTGACTTTGACCAGGGCTGACTTGGAAATGCAAATCGAAAGCCTGAATGAGGAACTGGCATACCTCAAGAAGAACCACGAAGAAGTAGGCTTTTGTTTCAGTTGTTCTAGCATATTTCTTTCTTGTCAACTCTTTTCAACATTACGCTTTCAAGCTCCATTTGCATTGTCACCATGCAAGAACTTCTTTGTTCTTTTTGCAATTCAGATACAAACTAGAAGTAATAGGTTCTCACAACATTATCTGCAGAATTTAAAAAAATATGCTTAAACTGGATCAAGCATACAAGGCATGCACAAGGAGGAAAGCTTATTTTGGCCCCTGCCACACGGCAGGGGAAAAAGCGGCAAAAAGCGTGGCTTTTAAAGGCCGCGCCAAAGTTGAAACGGCGCGGCAGGATCCCACGGATCCCCTGGCCGCACCGCCTTTTCTCCCCGGCACGATCAGACGCCGGGGAAAAAACACAGATTGGACGCCGAGCCAGCCGAACTGCGCATGTCCGAGCATGCGCAGTTTGGCTTGGAGCCGGGGACGCAGCAGGGAGAGGAGCCGGGGACGCAGCAGGGAGAGGAACCACCTTGGTAGGTGGTTCCTACTTGCTCCGGATCATCGAGTGGATAGGCCAGTTCGGGGACGGAAGCACCCAGATGTTGTGGTGTGATCACGGCCATTTGCTCTGTCCCCAAACCGTCCCGCTACTGGCCCAAATCCCCTCGTGTGAACGGGACCTTTGTAGGTCTTTCCCCCAGTTTTCGAAAAAAGGCTTCTTAAAATGGCATCATATTACTAAAAGGGACTAAAAACATGAGTTTCAGTTTCAGCTGCCAGCCTCCAGGTGGGACCTGGGGATCCCCCAGAATTAAAGCTCATCTCCAGAGTGTGGGGATCAGTTCTCGAGGATAAAATGCTTTGGCAGGTGGGCTCTATGGCAGTGTACCCCACTGAGGTCCCTGTCCTCCCCAGGCTCCACCCCCAAATCTCTAGGACTTTCCCAACCTGGATCTGGCAACCCGAACCTGCTGGCACCTGCTGGCACCCAGGGGAGACCTGGCAACCCTATTATAGCTCTTTATTCTTAATTGTATTTACAATCTTTTCCCAAACAGTTTTTATGGATTGGTTTGGAGGAGGGGAGATGTGGATTACAAACATTCTAGAAGTTGTGGGGAGGAGAAATGCAGGTTCACACTGTGAATTCTTGTACTGGCTAAAACAACTATATTTAAAGTCAGTATGCTTGAGACAGTTACATCAGTTTCCAGGTTTAACATCCACAAGAGATCTTGAATAGCAAAAAGAAGGGATTTTGGTATCCCGTCAAGATGGTTTTGAGCTTTGCAGTCAGGTGATTACACTGAGATTAACTGCTTTGAGTTTCAGCCTACTTGATAAAACTGTTAACTGCCATTAGAAACAGGTATCTCCAAACATACACTACTGAAAGCTGTGGTCACCATACATGACCAAGTGTCTGGGGACTAAGGATGCCAGCACCCAGGTGGAGTCTGGGGGTCTCCTGGAGTTTCACCTCATCTCCAGACTACAGAGATCAGTTCCCCTTGAGAAAATGGATGCTTTGGAGCGTGGACTCTACAGCATTGTACCCCACGGAGGCCCCTGTCCTCTCCAGGCTCCACTCCCAAATCTCCAGAAGTTTCTCAGCCTGTATCTGGCAAACCTACCTAACATCCCCAGCCTCATTGGTCAGGGGGACCTGGCAATCCTACAGGGGACTCATATCCCCTCATGGGCTTGAATACCAACATGCCTTTCCCACACAAGGAATACAAAGGATCTATCAGTACAAGGAAGTTTATTGAATTTCTTAAATGCTGGATGATACGATATTGAAGAATACATGCCGAAGTAGGCTCTCTAACCCATCTCTTTACATCAAGCTGGTCTTTTTGACCATTACTATGCCAGCTCTTTTGTCTTTTAAGGAACTACAAGGTTTCCAAAGCAATGCCACTGGTCAAGTCAGTGTAGAAATGGATGCAGCTCCAGGGATTGATTTGACCAAACTTCTGAATGATATGAGAGGTCAGTATGAGGCACTTGCTGAACAACATCGGAAAGAGGCTGAAGCCTGGTTCAATGAAAAGGTATGTCAGAAAGAGACAATTTGCTTGAATAGATTTACTGAATAGAATTACTGGATCATTTTTTAAAAAAATCTCTCTTATTTGGGTATTTCAGAGTGGGGAGCTGAAAAGAGAAATTTCCTCAAACACTGAACAGCTTCAGTCGGGAAAAAGTGAGATCACAGACCTGAGACGTACTCTACAAAGCCTAGAAATAGAACTGCAGTCTCAACTTGCTATGGTATGATCAGTTCAACTCCAAACCAAACAAGCATGCCTTCGCGGGGAGGGCAGGATATAAATTAAATAAATAAATAAATAAACCAATATCTGTTGAATAACTTTTAGGACATGTTTACAGTATGCAAAAATGACCTTACAACGGCACAACAGGTCCTAATGAGAATTCTCCATTCTCAATCACCCCTTCCAGAAATGGCTCTCTCTCCCTCTTCAAAACATGCTGTTAGATTATTATTAACATGCTTTTGCGTGCAGTGTATGAGCACTTAGATATAATGGGGTTTCACTGAACTATCTGCACTATTTTAAAAAGAAGTATATCAAGTCTTTGGCTCCTAAACTGAAAGAACTAAAGATCTCACACCTGCCACTACCTCACAGCTAGTTATGTGATCCAGCATGCATAAATTTGTTTTAATGTCATACACTTCATAATCTCTCTCTTTCTCTTTTTTTCTCAATAAAGAAAAAATCTCTTGAAGACACCCTAGCAGAAACGGAAGCAGGCTATTGTGGCCAGCTCTCACAAATGCAACTTCAGATTGGAAACCTGGAAACACAGCTTTTCCAGGTCCGTGCAGACATGGAACGACAAAGTGCAGAGTACCAGCAGCTCCTGGATATCAAGACCCGACTGGAAATGGAGATTGAGACTTACCGCAGATTACTTGATGGCGAGATTGGGTAGGAGGACTGCCCAAATATTTAAAATTATTATTAAATTAAATTAAACCGCTATTCTAATGTCAGTTCTCTGTGAAAGCCTGAGTTCATCATAAACTTGATCCTGGTAATCTTACACGGCATAACAGCTCTACCATCTCTTTGCAGCTCATTTGAAAGTGCTTCAGTCGCAAGCACGAAGTCAGTGGATTCCACTCCTGGTAAGAAGATGTTGGGATTTCAGTTGTATTGTTGAGAGAACATCAATTAAATGCCCAACTAATAGGAACACCCATGTCTTTATTTATTGTCATGGTTTAGTTTAATTTAGTGTTTCTTTCAGCTGTTGCTTTATCCCTCTTTTCCTTTTTTAATTTAAGCCTCACTTTCTCATCACATGTTGTGGATGTGTGTAAAAACACACAGCACATATTGCCTATTGGACTGGGTCACATATTACTATGCTGTAAATTTTCATGTAGTAGGAAATGAAATGTAGTAGGAAGGCATGTATGTATGAACCTCTCATTTATGACTAGCATTTTTTGTGAACCTTCTTTTTCTTCCTGTTTAGATCCAACCAAAACCAGAAAGATCAAGACAATTGTTGAGGAGGTGGTGGATGGCAAAGTTGTTTCATCCCAAGTTAAGGAAATTGAAGAAAAGCTATAAGCAAAATGCCAATCATTCATTCTTTGAATTCAGGGAAATGACTGGACTTACTTATTTTCTCTCTTAAGTATGAAACGTTATTTGAAATTTCCTCTCTAGTTAAATAATTCTATATACATTCTACTTCAGCTTATATCGTGTATTACTTAGTGAGTCATTTAATCATACCAGGCTGGGTTTTTTTAGTAAATGCCCTGCACTTTAGGTTTCTAATATATGTGCTAAACACCATGTTCAAGGACACTATCATAGCCTTTTGGAAAGCAACATAGCATACTTTTCTATTCTAATTATGGAATTTTCTTGGCTCACCCATGGCTTTTACTATAAACCAACTCTGATGATGTAATTTTTGAAATATATTCATATCTTCCCATATCTAACCACCCCAAGTCCACATTTGGTACAAAAAGTGTGATCTATAGATCTTTTAAATAAATATTCTCCCCTCTATTTATTTTTATACAATGGTGTGCCTCTACTTTTACCATTCATTTTTCAGAAACACAACTGCATCATTAATGAAGTGTATTATAGACACTGTATAAGTTTGACATCAAATGCAGGACTTAAACCTTCACAACCATAACCAGAGAAGTCAAGATACATTTAGTAGGAAGTTTTCTTTTGGGATGCATCATTTTTATCACACTCTAGTGCAATTGTGATGTTTAATAAGGCTGGGCTGCATTGTTTACAGAAGGGGTTAAACAGCATACTGGCTGGTAGATCAAAGACGGCAATAGGCCAAGTCCTCCTCCCTCACTTGCCACCAATATGGCCAGTGCCCTCACAGCTGGCAGAAGCTAAAAGACCCTAGACTGAAATAGAAACATTGCCTATTTTAGGAAGAAATAGACAATTTTGAAGAGACCTCATAGGACTAAAAGACTCTCATTATCAGATCTGATTCAACATATCATGGGTCCCGGTCACATGCAGAATTAGCCGTACAATAGGCACGAATGCCGGACGGATTTTAAGGTCACGATCACACAGGAACATCTGGCAAGCATCCCGCACCTGTCGCCAACCCATTTCGCTCCGCTGAAGAAGTGGACTTAAAAAATATAGGGGAAACTGCAGTATCAAATGGGTTTGCGACAGGCCGCAGTAGGACTTCCCCGTGTGATCGCTCCAGCGCAGTACCATTGCATCTGTGATCCCTCACTGACGTGCACTGGAAACACTCGGTGAAGGAAAAAACCCAATTCACCCGCCACTGCGTCTGATCACACAGTGGCAGGTCAAATTACTATGGCGCAAATAGCCTCGCTAACAGGAATTAAGAGGACAACAGCCCACTTGAACTTAGGGATGGCCCCAGGGAGTGATTTAATCCCTCCAGAATTGCTTAAAATGGTGAGCACCAGTTCTGGTTATTCTTTTCCCCTTTATTGACCAGACAGTGGTTGGCATTTGGCCACTATCATCCCAATATATAAAAAAGAGGATAAACTGAATCCCCTTTAACTACCTCCCAAGCAGTCTGCTCAGTGTAGTGTCCAAACTTTATGCTAGCGCTTACACTGGAAGTTCCGGCTTGACCAGGAGAACATTTTAATTGAGGAACAAACAGGCTTCGAGACTGGCCGCTCAAGCTTAGAACAACGTTTGATCTAGGGTTGCCAGTCTCCAGGTGGTACTTGGAGATCTACAGGTATTACAACCGGTCCCCAGCCTGGGACGCCCACCAACAACCTGGCCACAGCATTCTGCACCAGCTGTAGCTTCCGGATTTGCGACAAAGGCAGCCCCATGTAGAGAGTGTTGCAGTAGTCCAGCCTCGAGGTGACCGTCACATGGATCACTGTAGCTAAGTCATTGCGGTCAAGGAAAGGAACCAAGTGCCATATCAGCCAAAGATGATAAAAGGCCAATCGGCAGTGGCCGCGACCTGGGCCTCCATTGTCAAGGTAGGGTCCAGGAGCACTCCCAAACTCTTAGCCTCCAAAGCTGGCACCAAAGGTGCCCCATCAAAGGTCAGGAGAGGAAGCCCTAACCCCGATCCGGTCCGACTCAAGCACAGGACCTCCGTCTTCACCGGGTTTAACTTCAGCCTGCTCAGCCTGAGCCACCCAGCCACGGCTTGTAAAGCCCAGTGCAGATCTTCTGGGTTGGAGTCCGACTGGCCGCCCAACATCAAATAGAAGTGGGTGTCATCTGCGTATTGATGACACCCCAGCCCATACCTCCGGACAATCTGGGCTCGGGGGCGCATATATATATTAAACAGCATCGGGGAAAGGACAGCCCCCTGAGGCACCCCACACTCAAGTGGGTGCCTCTGGGACTGTCGTTCCCCTAGCACTCCCCTCTGTCTCCAGCCTTGGAGAAATGAGGCAAGTCATTGAAGGGCAAGCCGCCTGATCCCACGTCGGTGAGGTGGTGGGCCAGCAGCTGATGGTCGACCGTATCAAATGCAGCCGACAGATCTAACAACAACAGCGCTGCCACACCGCCTCGATCCAGATGTCTACGGAGGTCATCAGTCAGAGGAACCAGTACTGTCTCCGTCCCATGTCCCGGGTGAAAACCGGACTGGAATGGGTCAAGGACAGAAGCGTCATCCAGGTAACCCTGTAGCTGAACTGCCACCGCCTTCTCAATCAATTTGCCCAAATAGGGCAAATTGGACACAGGCTGATAGTTGGCCAATTCGGTTGGGTCCAAGGTTGTTTTTTTCAAGAGAGGGCAGACCATCTCTTCCTTGAGTGCCTCAGGGAACCGCCCCTCCGAGAGGGACTTGTTAACAATCTCCCTCAAGGCACCTCGAAACCCCTCATGGCCCGCTTTAATGAGCCAGGAGGGGCACGGATCAAGGTCGCATGTGGTTGGGCATACAGATATGAATAATCTGTTGACTTCCTCCAGGCTGAGCTGGTCAAAGCATTCTAAACCCGGACACAAAGACATGCAAGGGGCCTCAAGTTCACTAACTGTTTCAACTGTGGCGGGGAGGTCGCGGCGGAGCGACAAGACTTTATCTGCAAAATAGTTCGCAAAAGCCTCACAGCCGATATCCAATTTCCTATCATTTTGTCTGCCCTGTGGCAGAGCCGTCAAAGACCGAATTGTTCTAAATAATTGGGCTGGGCGAGAGCTAGCGGACGCAACCCTGGCTGCGTAGAAGTCCCTCTTCGCAGCCTTGACTGCCATCTCATAGGATCTTATAAACGTCCTATAGGATGCTCTTGTGGCCTCGTCGCGAACTTGGCACCACCGTCTCTCTAACCATCTTAACTCTTGCTTCATCAGCCACAACCCCTGGGTATACCGGGGGGCAGCCTAAAGAGAGAGCGCAGATGGCGCCGGGGAGCGATCACGTCAATGGCTGTGGAAAGTCGACTATGCCAGTCATCCACGAGCTCATCCAACGAACCGCCAGGGGGCATCGGTTCCCACAGGGCCAGTTGAAGCAGCATCGGGTCCATTTGGCTCCGCGAGAGAGCTAAAATCCGCTCGCCACCTATACAGGGTCAGGGCAGGACGTTCACACGGGCCTTCAGGGCATAGTGGTCCGACCATGGCACTGCATCTGCAGTGATCCCCATCGTGAAGATTAAATCGAGCGTGTGCCCCGCCTGGTGCATGGGGACCGATACACATTGGGAGAGTCCCAGTGCCACCATGGACGTCACTAGGTCCGTAGCCCGGCTGGAGGTCGCGTCATTGGCATGGACATTGAAGTCACCCAAGACTAGTAGCCTAGGGTGCTCCAACGCCCAGCCTGATACGGCCTCCGGCAGGGATGGCAGGCAACTGGCCAGTGCGTTAGGCGGACGGTACACCAGACAGATTGCCACATTCTCCTCGGCCTCCAGCAACAGGCCGACACACTCTAAGCCCGCAATCTCCAATGTAGGGAGTGCCCTGAAGGAGTAAGCCTCCCGTACGAACATCGCCACTCC